GGGGTGAAGGAGGACGGTGCACAGTTGGAGAGGGTTTGTGGGATGATACGCAACCTCATCGGCAACGATTTGACTTATTATGTCTCTAAGATGGGTCAGTACTTGGGTTGGTACGGAGATTTCGGTATCGTTGGGACAGATACGAATGAGCTTCTCACTAAGTACACCAGCCTGTTGAGAACTGATGAGGGAAAGTTCAGTTCACCAAGTGCTGATAAAATCTGACCTTTTCTCAGTGATGATCGTACGCTATTGTTGACAGGTTCATGACAGGTTCAGGCTGGCCAGGCGGATGACTCGAATACACCTCTGGAGGATCCTCATGAGGAACTGAGCGCTGGAGTGGGGTAGTAGTTTTCATTCTCTTATATAACATGACACATTCCTGAGTTTGAAGGGTTATTGTGTTGGTAGTGTGGCACACAGGGCTAGGGAAGGGGCTGTTGTTAGTTGGAGCGTGCTCGGTTGGTGATAATGTCACAAAATGCGGAGTCTAAGGAGATCGCTGAGACTGGTGGAAATGAAGGCATTCGTAGTAGTGATGCCCTGAGGCGGATATTCTCGGAGCGTGATCAGAGGTTGGTGTCGTCGTGGGGGTATTCGGTGGCTATTCTACTTATAGGAAGAAGCTTCGTGAGCAGGGTGTTAAGGTGATGGGCGATTTCCCAGTCAGTGAGGACCAGAGGAAAAGTATTTACTCAGAGGCTAGGGTAGTAGTAGTAGTAGTAGTAGTAGTAGTAGTAGTAGTAGTAGTAGTAGTGGGAGGGGCGTATGTGATGAGGATAAGTGTAGGAAGCAGCAATAAAGGCCGCCCGACCCGACCCCAGCGCCAGCATTAAGCACGATCTGTATACTACTGGTAAGGGGAGGTGTAGGTCTTTAGTGGGGTATGCTTGCATTCAGGAGCTGCGGCCTCGAGTTTCACGTCGACTAGGATGAACCTGGCGTATGATAATGAGTATAGGGAAATGACCGATCTGGAGAAACGAACTATTCTATACGATAAAGTAGAGGTGGGTTGAGTAGTGGTAGGGAGAAGATTCTTTTTAGGTACGGAAGGCCCATAAGAAGGGATATGTGGCGATCACATTGGACCACGGTGGAACTCTGAATTTGGAGCTGCACTGTGACATCGCGCCGCAGACATGTGACAACTTTATACGGTCGGGCATAGCCTCTAGGGCGGAGATGTTACTGTGGTTGTTGGTGTAGGTTGTGCAAGTCGGGTTATTATAATGGAGTTAAGTTCCATAGAGTTATACGCAACTTCATGATGCAGGGAGGCGACCCGGAAGGCACAGGTAAGAGGGCAGTGCATGGAGTGATGTTGTGGATAGTAGTGGAACTTCAGGCAGGGCTGGTAAGAGCGCATTTGAAGGAGGCGCGCCGTTCAGAGATGAGTTCGACTCTAGGTTGACTCACTCAGGGGCTGGGGTAAGCCAAGTAATTGACAATGGGAAAGTTGCATAAATTTCCTGCCAGGTTGTGTCCATGGCTAACTCTGGCAGAGACACCAATCGTTCACAGTTCTTCATAACGTTCAAGTCTTGTGAGCACCTGAACAACAAGCATACCATATTCGGTCGAGTTGTGGGAGGAGGTAACCGTGCCTTGGATTTTCTCGGAAAGTGGGTATTGGGTGGCAGGTGCGGCATTGGACGTTTTAAACGAGACGGAAACGGACCGGAAAGAAAGGCCTATTGATCCCATCAAAATAGTGAAGACGCAAGTGTTCGTAATATCATATATGTTTCCTCTCCTGAGATTAGTGCGTTTTGTGGTAGGTCAACCCGTTTGAGACTATACTTGATGACGAGGCGGCTCAGAAGAAGGAGGAAGAGGATAAGTTGAAGGAGGCTCAGCTACTTCGAGATCGCATGGATGTTATGAAGGACCACCCTAAGAGGGAGTCTACAGGGATTGGTACCTTGCATTTCTGCTTGTGTTCGGCGAGGTGTGGTATTAGGTAAATATCTGTCGGCGACGCACAAGCGTAAATCTCATAGTGGAACTTCGATAGAGGAAAGCAGTGGTCCGGTGCTGGGACAGATGGGCAAGTCTAAGAGGCATAAAGCTTTTGGTTTCCAGGATTGGTGAAGTTAGTAAACTCTCGCGTTGAGTAGTGATCCTACGGCCAAGTCGTTTTTCAGCTTCTTTTCCTTCCGTTCCTCCCCTTTGACCATTCCTGAGTCCGCAGAGCCTGGCTTTGCCGAATCTTATCCCAACAACGAGAATTTCTATATGGACCGTTCAAGAGCCCGTACGGAAGAACGGGCGGCGTATGACAACATGAGTAATTCCGATAAGGTTAAAGCATACCTCTGTAGCGTGTGGAAAAAGGTAGTGTCCATGACTGCGGCTATTGGCATTTTTTTGTGTCAGACGAAATTAGAATGGGAGGTCCTCAAGGTGGCTTGGCCCTGGATTATCCTTGGCATTATATTTCAAATCTTGCATGACTGGGCGCATAACTGGGTTTATTATCTGAGTGGAAAGTAGTGGAGTATTATGCGTTCGCCTTCGACACGCCCTCAGATACGACGTGTATGGCGGACCTGAGAATGCTCTCGTGGACTTCGGTCATATGGCATTCCCTGATATAGATACTCTTACTGTCTCGCCCGAACCAGAGAATCCGGTAGGGATCTCTACTAGTGGGGTTAGGGAAGTGCGGGCTTAGGTACTGTACACTTGTATGATTCTCGCGGTGGCGTTTGCCGTGATAGGGCCTATTTTTGGGGGTCGAGATGACTTCACGCTCATAGGGGTTATCTGGAGAGTTCTCAATGTTTGTGACTTTACTATATTATTCCGATGCATATCTTTTCTGGTCACAATTTTACCGGCACCAGCACCGCACTGTCAAGAGTAGGACCAATTACTTATGCTTTCTGGTGAGGAATTTCTGTCAGGGCTCCTCCGCCTAGCGCCCCATGGGAACCTTTCTTCAACCCACCTACGACTGGCGATCAGGTTTTCTCAGGTTTTGATGTCCAGAACGGCTGTGGAGATCTGGTGTTTAGTAGCCATATGATGTAGGCATTGAAATAGTCCCTTTCAGTGTTGTTGCAATATATACTCGCCCTCCTCAGCTGAGCTCAAGGATTTCCTCACTAATCATAGAAGTTTGTAACTAACATTAAGCATCCAAAAATTCCTCGGAGTTCTCGTATTGTCACCAACATACGTGGTCAACCATGTGCAAATTTTACAACACTGCTTCCTTCCTTATGGAGAGTTTTTCATAGGTACTGTTTGCTAGCAACACTGGTCGTCACTCACTACTCTCGGAGCCTTATTTTCATGGTAGGCGAGAACAGTAGAGGGAATATGGTTATCTTGTTTTCCCCCTAAGGTGATTGAATGGCTGCTGAGTTGTGCCCTTGTATGTTTGATATTGGCGCAAAGATCACATTATACATTGGATGTGTGGGTTAGTTGGTATACAGTTCCTATGGTCTGGATATGCTTCTACCACTTCTTCCCTAACGATCCAGTCAGACATGTTGAATTTTGGAAAGACCAAACTCAACGTGTTTATCTGCCAAGGTCAGATTGTCGTAGATCTTTTTCTTTGCGAGAGCCGCTACTTTGGAGTTAAAGCATGAGTGTTGTTGTTGTTGCTGCTACATTGTTTGATTGAGTGATGCTTGTGTTTAGACAAACAGTGGTTCGAAAGGAAGAGCGAGCGAGAACGAGTTTCGGATCGCCCACGGCAATTATCTGGCCAGGAATCGGCCCGAATATGACCAAAGAATGAAAATAATTATGTATACTGTTGCTTACCACACCTTCATCAACTCGAACTTGGGTCAGCTACTATGCAGGCTCCTTGGATATCTATTCACAACGTACAGGATGATAATTGTCTGTTGTAAAAGTTAACCGCCTTATTCTTTCCTAGCTCAGTTCCTTTGATAGCAAGGTATACATAAGTGTTGAGTTAGCAAACCTGTTTACAAGAACAATTATGTTCTTTCCACAGTGCTCAATTTCGTGTTCGCATCCTTGGACATCCAAGGAACACTCCTTGATGCTCGTATACACTCTTGGTGGTCACAATATTCAAGTTTAATTCCGTTACCATCACGAGAAAGTTGAATAGTAATGATGAGTACAGTTAGTAGGGGGGCCCGCTTTTGAATGGCTGTGTCTGAAGGCAATAGTTTTCATAAAATCACGGGGTTGGTGGTTACCCTGTTGCCAGGCATTTGGACACTAGAGTCGACCGTAACATGGACAAGAGTTGCTTCTCGTCAGTGTATGGGGGCCACACACCAACTTGTTGCGTCAGAGCAACAACGATGGAATGGTATGGCGAGGACAGGGTGCAGACGCGTTGCCTGGTCTGGAGACAAGCGTCACGCGCCACGAAATAGGGCGTTTGTCGAGCAAGACGATTTTCCATTGCCAATCGATACATATGACTTCCAGAGTGAATCACAGGAAGCTTTTTTGGAGTGTGAACGCTCGCATGTCCCAAGAGTAGCGGGCGGGAGGTTATATGGTTGAAGGGAGAAAACAATAGCGGACGTAAATTTTATCGTTGCCTGTTCGAGCTGGTTCACCATAGACAGTCAACATGAAGAAGTTAGTGATGATAGTTTAGTGGTCGGTAATGGACGCCTTTCGGAACTCGACTCACAGTAATGACCGACATGGTGGCGCCAGGAGAGGGTTCACTATGAGAATAGGCGGACAGGGCCGGGGCCCTTCGAATTCGTAGGGAATTCGGCGGAGTGTGGTATGGCGGTTGAGTCTGGGCTAGGTACTACTGTCATGAGTGCCGTAAGAGTATTCCCAGACTAACTGATGAGAACAGGTGCCCTGAATGCAACGGGGGGTAGGTGCTTGTTGGTGCAGTTCGGGCTGAGGTTAGAAACCCACACAGCTTCGAGAAATGAAGTTCTCCATGAGGAAAGTGTTTCTAATGTGATGATGACATTTACATGGGAAACTGATGGAAGAATGTGTTCCTAGCCATGTGGAAAATTCAAAATGAGTTCGGCCTCCCGGGAACATTACAGATTTCTTCAACTAAAGGTTTGTGGAAGCTGCTCGAGTGCCGGCGGATGATATGATGCAAGCATTGATGATGTTGGCTGGGGCGGAGCGGTCTCAGACGGAGGAGAGTTCCAATGTATTGAATAGACGGCAGCAGGATGAGGCCAATCCGTGCACATGCAAAGTAGTGTTGAGAGGAAGCAACGCTTTTGGGAATATTTTGGGGAGATTTTAGGCGTTCATAGAGCGGTTGCCCGTAGCACCTAGACGAGTGAAAACCGAGATGAAGGCGGACGATTTGATAGAGTCGTCAGTCGCGGAGTGCAGTATATGTAATGTTGGTAGTAGTTATGGAGGAGGCAATGGTGGGGTGGTAGGCACTATGGAATTCGAGAAGGAAGATTCTGAGGATGCTCATTGTACTAGTCTACCCTGTGAGCATTTTTTCCATAGGGATTGTTTGGTACCATGGCTAAAAAGAAGTGACTCTTGTCCGGTGTGCCGGTAGGTGGGATCGAACCTGGGCGTTTCGGATGAGAGGTTGACGGCTTAACCATTTGACTATAGGTACAAGTTGCCAACAGACTCAGTGAAGTATTGAGGGAGATAGGAGAGAATGTTGAGGCTGATAAATTAGAATCTGAGCGTCGGCGACGAAATCCTCTCCATGAGTTCATGTCAAGACGGTCTATGATGGGCCGTGGGCCGGAATCCGGTGGTCCCCGCCACCCCAACGTGCGCTGTGACTGCTGTGAAATGTTCCCCATTGTCGGCCGCAACAGATGGAAGTGTGTGCAGTGCCAGGACTATGACCTGTGCGACGGCTGCTATCACGCGTTTATGGATGGCCAGAGGGATATACCCGAACACGCGAGTAGGAGAACGCAGCTGCCGGGAGGGCAAGGTGATTTTTGTATTCTGATATGTCTTAGCGAAGCGAAGTTTTTTCATGTCTAGAACATCACACTTTTCGGTTGATGCGGAGTCCTGTGCCTCGTACGACGGGAAGTCGGGGAGAGCAAGTCGGTGGTGGTGAAGGAGGTAGTGCGTGGGTTGGTATGGCCAAGCACGACTTGGGTTAGGTCCGCGCATTATTACTCTGCACGCTTTACTCGGGCTTATCCAGTCTGGCAACGTTATAGTAGAGCGCAGGGCTGATGGTGACGATGAGGATTTGAGTGGGTGTACTATACGGCTGTTCTCATCGGGTTATGGTTATTCCAGGTCGGTAATAGGAGAATACGGAAGCGTTTTTTTATCTTTTATATATCACTTGATTCGTTTTTGTGGTCGTTCTGATTGGAGTCGTTGTGGATTCACAAAGAGTCCGTTTGTTCGCGGATTGTTCATTCTTCTGTAGCATTGTCACCTAACGATAATCTCGATGTGGATGTCCCCCCGAATTGCACAATTTCTGTCCCCGTCCCGTACTGGTGACAGGCGCGACCTGTCATTTTGCGTGTAACATGATACCATCACTCTCCCTACTACTGAACCATCGACTGCCCGTAGTGCAGGTAGGGTGACAGCTTTACAAGGACCTCGTTATAAATCGTCAGAGTTAGTGGTAGGGTTGCGTTACTATTCGCGGGCAGGAGACGAGTTCTGTTTCTGCAGTGATTGGTTCCTGTTTTCACTGCTACTATGGCGCCTAGTGTAGTATTCGTTCTTGGAGGGCCTGGGGCTGGCAAAGGCACTCAGTGTGACTTGATAGAGAAGGAATATGGCTATGTGTAGGATGGGATGTGGTGATCCTCATGGGAGGTGTGTTTTCCTCAGACATTTGTCAGCTGGGGATCTACTGCGTGAAGAGCGAAATCGTGAGGGTAGCGAGTATGGCGATCTCATTGAGAAGTGAGCCGCGGTTTGAGGGTCTTGGGCTGCTTATGTGGCTTTATAGAAGCTCCTAGGCTATTTCACGCGGTTTTCTCAATGAAAATTCTACTCATAGTGTTGCTGACGAGCCGTCAACAACAGGGACAATTTTCATTGAAAGCAATGACGAAATTGTTTTGTATGAAAATTTTCTCTCCCATATTTTTTCCTATTGGGTTCGCAATAACCCTCGTAGTACTGATGCTCTTTTGTTTAGGTACATTAGAGAGGGCGCTATTGTTCCTGTAGAAATCACTGTTAATTTACTAAAGCGTGCGATGGAACAGCGCGACTGGGAGCACGGCAAGTTCCTAATTGATGGCTTCCCGAGGAATGAGGTTGGAATACGACTGTTGACCCTTCAGAGTGTTAGAGCTTCGCTTAGGACAACCTTGATGGGTGGGAGCGCGTTCTTGGTGGGAAAGTTGATGAAAAATTCTGCCTATTTTTTGATTGCCCTGAAGGCGTTATGGAGGTAGGTGAGTCGAGATAACAGTGCTCGAAAAGATGGCTTTTCCAGAAACGTCTTCTGTCGCGAGGGAAGACCAGTGGGCGTTCTGATGATAATCTGGAATCTATCCGTAAGCGTTTCCGCACGTATGAGGCTGATACGATGCCGATCATTGTGAGGTTCAAGGCTAAGGGAAAGGAAAGGAGGGTAACAGTGGGAGGCTTATATACTCTAGTCGATATGAATAGCTAGGTGAACGCTGACCGATCAGTGGAGGAGGTCTGGTTTGATGTGAAAAACATTTTCGAGAAGATGTAGAAGGGGATGTCCACCTCTGGGCGTGTTCCCGTCTTACTGATTCACCATAGTATTTGTGTATGCATTACACTGAATGGTGGGCTATCGCAGTGCGTGATAAGTAGATGTCGAGGCTGCTGTTCTAACCTCCTGTATAGCGTCTTGTGTTGACCTCGTTAATGTTGGATGGGGAGAAAGCTTCGCACTTTTGTTAGAGTCAATATTGCTATTATCCATCCATAATGTCTAAGACGATAATGACGCCAGAGGAGCAGCTAGAGGATCTACAGCGGCGCTTCCAATTGCTGAGTAGTATATAGGGAGATTTCGGTGGGTTGATAGCTCTGGCTTATGACTCTTTGTTTATGAAGGAATGTGTTGTAAATTTTGGTAATGTTATTCATATCTATATCGCTATTATAATATCACTAATAATCTACTATATGAAGATGACTCGTAAGCTGGAGTCTAGGGTTTCAGAGAGAAGGGGAAATATCAATTATTTTCATTGTTCCGCCCGTTGCTCTGTGGGTTCTGTTTATTGGCTAGATTGGTTAAGGCTGATGAAAGATCACTTGTGCCACGTCGGACGTGTATAATTTTGTTTCCATCAAAAGAACTAAATCGGGGAAGTGGAAGGAGAATGCGATGAGAATAGTTTGGTTTCATCGAGTAGTTGATGATGACAGTAACAAGGAGGACGGAGGAGTAGCAAAATTCCCTCTAAAACGAACTGGGTGGGGAGTCGGTGAATAGATTGAGGGGAGTTGATCGAATCGGTGTCGAGAGTATTGAATTTGTTGGAGGAGTGGTATAATATGTTGCCGTGTGTCAGAGGGTGAGCGCAAGGCTACGTACGAGACGGCTCAGTTGAATATCAAACAAAATAAGGAAATTCTACAACAGATGAAGGATGAAAA